GGTGGGGAAGAGGAATCTTTTTTGGCAGCCCCGAGGGTGTCTCCCATCAGCACCAGAAAGTAGCAAAGAGGATGGAAGAGGGAGAGGACAAAGCCATCAGGAAACCACAGATGGGCACCCAATGGTCTTAGCACTTGGGCTGCAGGTGGAGGCACAAACCCAAGTCCTAAGTGCAGCTTGATGGAGGAAAGTAAACCCAAACCCCAGATCTGTGGGTGGGAATCACTGGTTTGCGGTAAGGGCCCCAGGAAGCCCCATGACGCAGTGAGGCACACCAGATCATGCAGCAGTGCTGGTGCAGCAGTGAACGATGGGGCGGTGGGCGGCCTGGCCTCCACTTCCTGGGCAGTAAACAAAAATCTCCTTCTCCCAGGAATGCAGTGAGGCCAGTCTCACTCTGTGAGGTGCCAGGGAAGTTCCTGCTCTCGTGCAGCACAGGCAGGAAAGAGCCTCCTGCAATTGCTGCTCATGTCGACAGCAAGGCACAGGTTTGCACAGCGCTTTCCAGGTCATGGGGTGCACGACAAACACCATTGCCAGCCTCTTGCCAGCTCAAGGAGCCCAAAGCATTTCATAACCCTTGCTCCAGGCAGCAGGTGCGTGGCCTCCTCCCTGCCATGCAGGCAGTGACAAGGGCAGGCAGGTTAAGGGTTTTGCCCAGGAAAACAGCCACAGAGACAGGAATGGAGCTGCAGATGCTTTGCCTCCAAAGGCCAGACCCCATTTTCTGGCCAACTGTTTGAGATTTCCTGTCAACCCAAGGTAAACACCTGGTGAACTACCAGGCTGTCAAAGAAGACAGGCTGCAGTGCATTGCGGCTTGTCCCTGCCCCAGGAAGGCATTTTTGGGTACAAAGAGCCAGCCAGGATGTGCCGAGGGTCCCAAAAGCTGTTGGTCACAAGCCCCAGCACCAGTGGAGCTCTGGTATATTGTGCTTGAAAAGCCTCCAGCCCACCCGCGCAGCCACAGGAATTGCACAAGCCTTTTTCTCCAGTCTCACTGAGCCCCACTGGAGGGGAGGGGTGTGAAGAGAGGCCGGGGCTCTCTCATGTATGGATTTGCCATGGATCAGAGGCCAGGCAGCCCGCTGGCATGTGATGCTGGTCATGGGTGCTGGCAGTTGGAGGGACAGGCACAAGGGATCAGCTGGAGCAGTTTTACCATGGTGCCAGCTCTGCCCCTCCTAACCAGAGCACAGGGTAGGTGAGAAACAGCCATCTCAGCCCAGGGCTTGCGGAGCAGGACAGAGAGGAGAAACAAGCTGGTGCCTCTGCCCTGGTCACTGCAGTCCCGAGACCCGCTGGGGTGCAGGGTGTGCTCACTCTGGAGGCTGAGCCGAAGGAGGTGGAGAAGCAGTGACAAGCAGCCCCACTCCCTCAGTCCCTGCACAGAGACCTCTCACTCACCCAGCCAGGTAGACATGAGCGCTCCCGCTGCTCAGCAGCTCCCACACCAGCCTTCGGTTTTCCTTGATGCGGTGCTGAACATAAACCTTCTCCTCCTGCAGGGAAACATGGTGCTGAGCCTGCCAGCCCTGGCAGCAGCCCCAGCCCCAGCCCCAGCTCCAGCACACCTGCCTGGCCCCTTGGGACTGTTCTCGGGGGCTGTTTGCAAGAGCTCAGGGCAGCGCAGCCCCCCCAGTGCACAGGGCACTGGGAGAAGCAGTTAGATCAACTCTCACATGGGGAAGGGAATCCCCACACCTCACATCAGTGCACTGGGATGGGTTGGTGGGAGATGGGTGCAGCAGAAGTAGCTTCTGTGGGGAATACACCCCAAGTAACCCCCCCAAATCCTTTGGCTGTACCCTGGTTGCTCCACCTCTGGTGAAAAGCCAGGGCCATGAGCTGGGGAATCCCCAAGAGGGCTCCCCTCCTGCCCTCTCCTCTCCCAGCATGAGCAGAGGAGGCTCCATGGCCCCCCCGTCCCAGGGCTGCTTGAGGGCAGAGACCCCTCCCCGCACCCCTGGCTGCCAGTCCCAGCCCTGTCATCTGCAAGAGGCCTGAAACAGCTCGGAAGGGCAGGAAGCTTGGAGAGACAGCCTTGGTCCCACTCCCTGCCCCCCCACTGTGCTTATAGGCTGGATACAACTGGCTTTTGGAGAATTCCCAAAGGGTTAATCCACAAGACTTCACACATCCAAGCAACTGCCTGCGGCCCTGGCTTCGGCCCAAGAGGAACACCATTGCCAACGTGCCCGAATTCACTGCCGGCACAGACAGCTCCTCCGTGACAAAGGTGACACTGTGATGGAAGCCAGGCCCTCTGCTGCATGTCCCACCACGCCAGGCTCTGTGCAGCAGTGAGCTGAGCCGTGGTGCAGCCTCTTCCTCTTGTCCTCCTCCCTCCCCTCCAGCCAAAGACAGCAAGGCTCTTGCTGCGTTTCAGGCTCTCTGCGTGCTGCAGTCTGGAGGTGTGCATGGGAACAACCAGCCCCGGGGGGCACAAGAGCTGGTCACAGCGCGGTCAGCAGGTCCCATGCAGCCCCACTGGTTGCACTGCACTGGAGAATCACATCACCCCAGGGCACGGCCCCACTGCTCCGACCTGGCTGCCAGCGATGCAGAAGGTAAGCAAGCTCATTGCAAGCACCAACACAGCCAGCCAGTAGCTCAGCTTCAGCATCATTAACATTAATCAGCTAAGTGCTGACAGAGGCTCTGCTGCTGAGGCTGAGGCTCCAAGCGGGTCATTTAAGGACCTGCAGCTACCTAGAAACCAGAGCACCCCAGTGACAAACTCGGGTCACGATGTCTCGGCTAAACCCCAGGGCATCCTGCTGAGAATTAGCGACAGCCGCATTAGGCTGGGATCAATCAGTCTGCACCGTGGGGCAGACATGGTGTGACAGAAGGTCACGGCAAAGGGGACCTTATGGAGAGGAGTGGGAAATCCTGCTCAGCTATGGAGCGTCCTAGCTCCTGCCAGCTCTTTGAAAACAAACTTTTTGACGAGTTAATGGCTGTGGTATCTCCTAGAGCCACAGGTACAATGGCCCAATGCGGCACGTCCTACCTGGCCGTGCTCTCACTCACCTCCCTGTGCAGCACTGCAGGACTCGGTGGCAGAAGGCCCCCATGGCAAACTGCTTTGCCCCACAGAGCAGGCAGAGAAGGGAAGCTCGGAGGCAGAAGGACTCCAATGCGAGTCCTGTCCCTCCAGGGTCTGCAAGGGCAAGAGGAGGCTCTGGGACTGCTCTCTAGATTTGGGGAGCAGCAGGTCCCCCCTTCACCGTGTGAGCCATCAGAAAAAAGGCAGACTGGTCATCCAATAAACCTCTGCAGTGCTGCTCCTGTGCATCAAAGACTTGGAAAGCCTTCACAGAGGCATTCAACTCATGCCTTACAAGTGACTGGATAAAAGATGCTGGCTTTGCGTCAATGCATGCACACAGCTAGGAGAAAAGGACTGGTGCGGCTGAGCTATCTAGAAATACCCATTCTCACTGACCCTTTTTATCACATCTCTCTATTTCAAAGGCAGGCTGAGCTTCCAGTGACATCAAGGGACAGGGAAAGGCAGTGAAACAGAGTCTCAGCTCATGGAGCCTCGCCGGCAGTGTAAAAAGCCCTACAGACCAGAGCAGGGCTGAGAGCTGTCCACCAAAGATACTTCCAGGGAAATACAGGAGCAAAGTGAGGGGCTGAGCTATGGGGGTGCTTGTACCTCCGGGGAGCTTTCTCCTGCATAGCTGAGGCTTGGGAAGAACTGGCATGGAGGGACCACAAGCTGGAGCAGGAGGCCAAGCTCCTCAGCTATAGCCAGCAATCAGAGGGACGTGGTGGGGAGGGTGGCACTCAACCAAGGAAGGTTATTGCCTGGTGACACTCCCCCCCCCCCCCCCCCACCCC